ATTTTTAAATTTCAATGCTTACAAACTAGTTTTCGGAACCCTAGATTGTCTCAAATTGAAAAGTTTTGAATACCAAGTTTGTTCAGATCATCAAGATCTACAATCCTTATATAGTCTATTTTTTCATTTGAGAAAGTTTGAACAAAATGTAGTTTAAATTTCACAAGTGTGTGACATAGTTTCAGAAAGTCTATATGAGATTCAAGAATTTGTGACTAGTGTTTGATAAAACTTTCTCAAATGGGAAAATGAGCTATGTAACAATTGTATATCTTGCTGAGATGATCAAACTTGGTATTCAAAGTTTTTTCATCTGAGGTCATTTAGTGTCTCATTTGAGCAAGTTTGACCAAGTCAAATTTGGTCAAATGAAAAAACAACACTTTGACTCTAGTATTATGAACTCTAAATGACTTCAAATTGAAAAGTTTTGAATACCAAGTTTGTTCAACTCATCAAGATCTACAATTCTTGTTTTGGTCAACTTTCCATTTGAGATAGTTTGGACGGTTCAAATTTGTGATTTTTAAATTTCGACGTTTACAAACTAGTTTTCGGAACCCTAGATTGTCTCAAATTGAAAAGTTTTGAATACCAAATTTGTTCATCTCATCAAGATATACAATCCTTATATAGGTCATTTTTTCATTTGAGAAAGTTTGAACAAAATATAGTTCAAATTTCACAAGTGTGTGACATAGTTTCAGAAAGTCTATATGAGATTCAAGAATTTATGACTAGTGTTTGATAAAACTTTTTCAAATGGGAAAATGAGCTATGTAACAATTGTAGATCTTGCAGAGATGATCAAACTTGGTATTCAGAGTTTTTTCATCTGAGGTCATTTAGTGTCTCATTTGAGCAAGTTTGACCAAGTCAAATTTGGTCAAATGAAAAAACAACACTTTGACTCTAGTATTATGAACTCTAAATGACTTCAAATTGAAAAGTTTTGAATACCAAGTTTGTTCAACTCATCAAGATCTACAATTGTTGTTTTGGTCAACTTTCCATTTGAGATAGTTTGGATGGTTCAAATTTGTGATTTTTAAATTTTGAATAAATATCCGGATAATATCCGTTTTTAAATATCCGGATATATCCGAAACTTATCCGGATTATCCGATATCCGCCGGATATCGATGATATTACATCCGTATTTGATATCCGCCTAAGATATCCGTTTTAGTATCCGTATCCGAAAAAAAAACGGATATCCGAGTAACTATCCAGATAAGTGTTCATATTTGTTCGGTCGAACGGACGGTCGAATAAATATCCGTACCGTTTTCATCCATAATGGTTGCACACTGGCATCTCCTGGGTTTTCCATGCAGCAGCCATGCATGATTTTCCACGCGCGACCTCCTATAAGTACGCCACTCCATCGGCCTCGATATTGTCACTCGTACACCAAAAGCAATAGCATCGTCTAGCTAGCCCTTCTCTCAACGACGGCAAAAGAAGCCGTTGCATAGATCGAGTAGCTAGCTTCAACCTGCTGCCGGCCATGGCGAAGGCTTCTGCCGTCGTTCTGCTCGTCGCCGCCCTGCTCGGCTGCCTTGTCTCGGCGTCGCTCGCCGACCAGGGCACTGCCACCTACTACACCGTCTACACTCGTGCGTTGCTCTAGCTAGCCTCTACACTACATTTCCGCATGGCATCAGCATATATATCACGTTGTTTTCTGAATTAACACGAGTGCCATGGTGTGCGTGTGCAGCGTCGGCGTGCGACGGGTACCAGGACGAGGGCACAATGATCGCGGCGGCGAGGGACTCGCTGTGGAACGGCGGCGCGGCGTGCGGCACGACGTACACGATCACTTGCGTGGGGGGCACCAACGACACCCCGAACCCCTGCAACGGCGGCGCCTCCATCAGCGTCAAGATCGTCGACCGCTGCCCATCGCCCGGCTGCCAGGCCACGCTCGACCTCTCCCAGGAGGCCTTCGCCGCCATCGGCAACCTCGACGCCGGCAAGATCGTCATCGATTACAACCAGTACGCAGCGAAATCAAACTTTCTTTCTTCTTGTTTGATCCCTTCGAACTTTGTTTGTGACTAATTAATCTTCTGTTGTTCTGCTTCTGCAGGGTGCAAACTGGCGGTGCAAAAGCTTGCAAAAGGAAGCACAGACTACATACATGCGCTTCATTGAAGATTATATTATTCAGGGATGAATTATTAGTAAATAAGCAATAACAAATCATGTCGATCGTAGTAGTCTCATGCTACGACTATAAAAGTAGTGTACACAAATGATTTGTTTTCTGAAATAATGATCTGCACCACACGAGTGCGCGTATAATTGTACCATTGGAAAAATAAATAACCGGACTATATATATATATATATATATATATATATATATATATATATATATATATATAGAGAGAGAGAGAGAGGGGGTAAGGCTATTTTGCAGCTAGTCATAGAATAACTTATTCTATAGCCACCTTAATTTACTATAATGTTTGTACCAATTTACGATAATATGAATATGCATTTACGATACTCGTGTTACTACAACTCACGGTGATATTTACCATAATGTTATAGTAAATCACTTGGGAAGCAGTTACTGTAGTCTCGTAAATTAACACAGTAACTATCGTAACTCAAAGTGGCCACAGAATAAGTTATTTTGTAACCAACTACAGTGTGTATATATATATATATATATATATATATATATATATATATATATATATATATATATATATATATATATATATATATATATATATATATATATATATATATATATATACTGTTCTGCAGCTGGTCATAGAATAACTTATTCTGTGGCCACTTTGAGTTACGATAATTACTATATAAATTTACGATATTATAGTAACCCCTTACTAAGTGGTTTATTATAACGTTATGGTAAATATCCCCATGTGTTATAGTAACACAACTATCGTAAATATGTATTAACATTATCGTAAATTAGTATATAAAATTATCGTAAATGAAGGTGGCTACAGAATAATTTATTTTGTAGTTGGCTACTGAATACTCTCTCTCTCTCTATCTATATATATATATATATATATATATATATATATATATATAACTACTACCGCTAGAAAATAACTTATTCTTTAGCCACTTTGAGTTATGTTAATTACTATATTAATTTACGAGATTATAATAACTCCTTACTAAGTGATTTACTATAACGTTATGGTAAATATCCCCATGCGTTATAGTAACTCAACTATCATAAATATATATTGATATTATCGTAAATTAGTATATAAAATTATCGTAAATGAAGGTGGCTACAGAATAACTTATTTTTGTAGCTGGCTACTGAATATACTCTCCATATATATATATATATACACACACGTACTGTTCTGTTGGCCGCATAATAAGTTATTCTGTGGCCACTTTGAGTTACGATAATTACTATACTAATTTACGAGATTATGGTAACCCCCTCATAAGTGATTTACTGTAGCATTATGGTAAGTATCATCTTGAATTATAGTAACCCATATATCGTAAATGTGTATTGTCATTATTGTAAATTGGTACAAACATTATCGTAAATCAATCTGGTTATAGAATAAGTTATCTGTGGCCAGCTGCAGAATAATATATATATTACTGCAAGGAAATAGCCGTGCTTTGTAATGAAAAAAAAAACTCTCTCACCTTCAGCCCAAAACCCATCATGTGTCTCCTCATCCTCGCCGCGCTCACCAGCAGTGGCCATGGTGCCCGATCACAACACGTCCAAACATGAGGTCAAACACCACATACCATCACACTCCCTTCTTGCATTTATGTCTCCTAGTCACCCTTGCAGGCTTGCAGCGGACTTGTAATTATAGTAGGAGTAGGCATCACCCCTGTACCAAGTGCATTCTTCATCCCAAACACTCCTGTCTGTTTCTTGCCTATCAGCAAGCTCGTTGATTCACCGTCGAGGCGTTGTGCTCAACGAGTAGCCACTGGCCACCATACGGTTGCCTGCCAGAACTAATGCTCTCGCTGTCCAACCACCGCCATCCATGCAAGCATGTACGCCTGTGTAATACCTCATAGTCTAAACATTAATTCAACACTGCCACAAAACAGATCTTGGGAGGCCCCTTATTGATTAACAGAGGCGGACACAAAAGGACGTCGCCTCTGTTGAGGGGACGCCTATAGGGAAAGTCTACCTTGTTAATCATTAATGAAGACGGTTGTTTTAAGACACTCGTCTCCTTTAAACAATTAACAGAGAAAGTGTATCCTAAAGCACTCACCTCCATATTAATGGAGACAAATGCCTTAAGATGTGTGTCTTCTTTAAACTATTAACAGAGACGGGCATCGTAAGACACTTGTCTCCGTTAATATAGGATTGACGGAGGCAGCATCCTTACATTGCCCGCTTCTGTTAGTGATAGGCTACAAATACAATGCAATCACCCACTCTTCTTGCTCCATGAGCTCACCCATTTATTTTGATGTGGTGAAAAACAAATCTATTTCAATAAGAAAACTCTATTTTTCGAGGGGGAGGTTTTGATCTTGGTTTCTTTGAGTGAGGCGGCCATAGGAGGTTGGTATGTGCCCTTATATGCTCCTTTTGTGCTTTTTTTTTCTAAGTTTTTATGCTTTTGTGGTAGTTTATGGTGGTCTATATCTAGTTCTAATAGTGGGAGGAGAGAGAAAGATAAGATGTAAGTGTGAGAGGCCAAGAAAAAAAAAGGAAAATGACATTTCAAAATGCCATGTTGGTTTTGTTTGTATCATAACTAGAGAAGGAGAGGGGGTCGTCGGACCAAGAAACCTCGCTCCTCTTAATATTATAGTTAGGGATATGTCTCCATCATCCCGTACTTGTAATTGTACCAGATCTGTTAGAAAGATGAGTACTAAATTCCCTAATAAAAACTTAAAGCAACAAGATTTACTCACCTCTTGTACAGTAAATAAGACCTAGGACTAAAAAGATCACACTAAGTCCTTAGGGCTATATAAAAGGACTAAAATTTACTTAGTGTGATCAATTTCCAAGTATTCTACTGCTACTGCCCGAGCACCATCGCTCAATGTTAACAACCTTCGATTCCAAAAAAAAAAAATGTTAACAACCTTCAGTCTTCTTCATTATATTGTTAATGAGCCATGAAGCAAACATAGATGTCATAAACGTGGAAGATAACCAGAGCGGTCTGTAGAAAAGGTTTGAACTAGTCGTTAGTTAAATTCTTCAAGGAAAAAGTAATTAAAATCCTCAAAGAATTAAATTAAAATACAAATACAAATAAAGGTAATAGTTGGATCAAACTACAGAACAACACAAATAACGACCAACTTTTACCGTACGTTTCCAAAGCCCATCCAGAAGTTAAAGCAGGCATCGCTGTCGCACAGCCCCGACCCTGCCGGCGTAGGCTCCGGGACCGGTGCGCCGCCGCTCACTCGAGCCGGAGCTGGTGCCGGTGCCGGTGCCGGTGCAAGCAGCGGCTGCTCATCGCCAGCCCACTCGGCTGCTTGCCGCCGCTCGTCGTAGCAAAGCATCATGTGATGATCCTCCTGCGCGGACGTGTACTCGTCGGGATAGCGGCGTAGCGGCTGCTGCGGAGAAGGCGGAGCACACGCCGCCCTCGCCGACCGCATGCTGGACACCGACGATGCGCCGCGAGTAGATTAGCTAGTTTCCCTCTGATCGACGAGCTAGGGGCTAGGACGGAGTCTACCTTTTGCATGATTACCTCGATTGGCTCCTCCGTCTCTTATATTTGATCGGCTTATATAATGCCCGACCGCCAGCAGGCGGAATCCATCACAGTTCGGAGGAGTCTCCGATGTTCGATCCATCACGTGACTCGTCGACTGCTAGCTCAACAGAGGCCCGCATGCAGAGAGGGAGAGAGAGAGAGAGGGCCCAGCACAATTAATTAGAGACTAGAAAACATTTTTGTAGATTAAGGAACAAAAACAGTATTCCAGGACCTCTTACATTCACAAGTAAATAGGTGTATAGCCGTCTATAAATGACCAACACGTCCTAATGACCACGCAGCACGCACTCCAACAACAGAAAGTAAAGGACGACTAAACCTCCAGAGTTCTCAAAACCAAAGAGAAAAACAAGACATCTAGTTCTCTAATCTCTTCTGCTGCCTCCATCCCAAACTTCCGAAGACCTCGAACAACATCACTTCCAAGTTTTTGCATCCACTCTTCATATATGGAAGCACGAACTACATACATGCAAAAGCTTCATTCAAGACAAGCTACAGACTGTAATACTAGTGCACACAAATGATTTTGTCAGCAGCCTCCCCAACCAGGCGCCACCTGCTGACCAGGATGAAGGGAAGGGGACGTCTGGAGCTCGGCCCACGAGTTGTCGGCCCAAGAAGCAGAACCCACGCTACATCGGCGAGCAATGGGCCTGAACAGTATGCCTGCGTGCGTGAAAGGGGCAGCGCCTTTGTACCTTTAAGAGAGCCGTGGGCTAGTTGAGGAGGACACGATTTGTCATAACAGAAAACTCTACTCCTAATCTAAAGCACTTGTCCGTCGTATCCACTGTTCTTCTTCCTCGTGCGCCTTTCTTCTTCCCCAATCCTCTTTCCGATCTCCTTCCCCAACTCCAATCCCTCACAAGTGGTATTAGAGACACCGTTCCTCGGCCTCCTCCGATCGCCGGTCACTACATCCCATCGACTGCTTGATTCCAACGGATTTGGTTGGTCTAACCTCAAATCGAGTCTGTGAGCTGCAGCTTGATTCGAGGATTCCGTAATTCTGGTCCCGGAGTCGTGGTTTGTGGAGTGTGCCGTGGATCTAGAGCCCGCTACCCCCGCCGACCACGACCACTACACTCGTCTCCAACGCAGCCGTGGTACCATGGGTCCCGACTAGAAGGTGCTCCTGGCCGAGCTCGACAAGCGTTTCGTCGCCCAGGAGAAGCGCTTCGATGGCCTGGAGCGGAAGCTGGATTCCACCGCGGCGTTGTCTTCCACCCATCTGGATGCCTTGGAGTCTGCAGCCAGGGTGTTCGACGAATGGCGCCATGGAGTTGACGGCGTCATCGACGACCTTCGCATCGAGGTCAACAAGCTCGCAACCCTGAAGCTCGAAGTTGGGAAGATCTCCAAGTACATGGAACTCTCAATGGTGGATGGCCCGTCAGTGACTCCCGGGGTGTTCACGACCGCGCCCGCCACCAAGTCGGCGTCGGCTCCTGCGTCACCAAGCGCGTCGATCCACGACGCCAAGCCCGTCCTCAACCCCAACTTCAAGTCGCTCGGGTATGGCGACTTCCAGGTTGCCCCGCGCCCACCTGCGGGATACGCAGCCACTCGGCCCAATGGGCACCGCGTCGAAATCGGGAACCATGAAGGTGAATTCGGAGTGGTCACCACTCTGATTCCACCTCCCGGCAAGGGTACGCTTCCTTGCCATCCTCCTTCCCCTCATCCGTTACCATGTCCTCCTCCACGCCCACCACCACCGCACCAACCACAACCCCACCCAGGAGGTCATTATGAGTCAGGTCATCAGGGGGGATCTGAGGGCGGCCATACCGGCAAGCTTCCCAAGTTTGATTTCTCTAGGTTCGAGGGGGATCATCCTAAATTGTGGATCAAGCAAGCCGTTCATTACTTTGAGCTCTATCGCGTCGAGTCCGTTGTTTGGGTGCAGGCTGCCACTATGCATTTCCATGGCAACGCCAAACGCTGACTGTCTTCGATGGAAGATCAGCTCGAGGCCATCACTTGGTCTGATTTCTGTTCTCAGTTGCTGTTGCACTTTGCCAGAGATGAGCACGAGCTGCTGCTGCGTCGCTTATTTCAACTTCGGCAAACTGGCCTCGTCAGTGAATACATAGACCAGTTCGTTGCACTCGTGGATGACCTCAAAGCCTATGCCAAGCACCCCGATCCACTCTACTATACACAACGCTTTATCAATGGTTTACGTGATGAAATTAAAGCTGTCATTCTCGTTTAGCGTCCTTCCACCCTCGATACTGCTTGTGTTTTGGCTCAACTGCAGGAGGAGGCGCTGGCTGCGAGTAAATGGCTGTTTCGGCGTTATGATCACACCCTTGTGGCTAAGCCTGTATGGCCAGGCGCGTTGGCTCTTCCTCCACCGCCACATAAGCATGCTGATGGTGATCATAAATGTCCTGCCAACAATCCACATTCTAATGCTGAAGACAAGTTCAGAGCATTGAGAGCCTCTCGTCGTGCACAAGGATTGTGTGTTCGTTGTGGCGTCAAGTGGAGCCGTGATCACAAATGTGCCGAGTTTGTGCAGATTAATTTGGTGCAAGAACTAATGGATATGTTCCCCGAGCAGGATGATGCCGAGAGTTCGGATCCTCCTTCCCCAACGGCGTCTCAAGTTATGATGCATCTTTCAGTGGCTGCGGCAGTGGGCTCAGCTTTCCCAAAGACATTCAGTTTAAAGGGTGATATTCAGGGGCATTCTTTATCCATACTGGTCGATTCGGGTTCTTCTCATACATTTATTAGCTCTGCAGTGGCACAGTCTCTCTCGGGCATACAAAAACTCAAGCCAGCGGTGGATGTTCAAGTCGCTAATGGAGCTATTCTCCAGTGTACCTCTCATATTCCTGCTGCTATTTGGTCTGTCCAGGGATGTACATTTTCCACTGATTTGAAGCTTCTGCCCCTATCTTCTTATGATATGATTCTTGGGTTGGACTGGTTATCTAGTTTCAGTCCCATGCATGTACATTGGGTTCAGAAATGGCTCTCTATTCCGTATGAAGGAACTACTGCAGTAATTCTTGGGGATGCTCTAGATCTTCCTGTCGGGTCTGTCATTCAGTTGTGTATGGTTCAGGATCCTACAGTAGCTGCTCCTGAGATGCCTATACCACCAACAGTGCAAGCTCTGATTGCTGAATTTGCTTCCTTGTTCGAGCCAGTTTCTGGTCATCCTCCTCGCCGTCCGTGTGATCACTCTATACCCTTGATTCTAGGTGCACCCCCAGTTTTTGTCAGACCATATCGCTATGCCCCTTTGCTCAATTCTAAAAATGGAAAGCAAGTGATGGATATGCTTGAGCAGGGTCTAATTCAAAAGAGTACAAGTGCTTTTGCTTCGCTGGTGCTGTTGGTGAAAAAAAGAAAGATCAAAGCTGGCATTTCTGTGTCTACCGCCAACTCAATGCTATAACAGTCAAGGGCAAATATCCAGTGCCAATTATTGAAGAATTACTGGACGAACTGTCGCGGGCCACTTACTTTACCACATTGGATTTGCAAGCTGGTTTTCATCAGATCCGCATGAAAGAAGGGAAAGAGTTCAAGACTGCGTTCCAAACGCATTTTGGGCAGTTCGAGTTCCGTGTCATGTCATTTGGATTAACAGGAGCTCCGGGTATCTTTCAGGATGCCATGAACACTCTCCTGAGCCCTTGCCTTCGTAAGTTTGTGCTCGCTTTCTTCGATGATTTACTGGTATACAGTTCTAGTCTCGACGAGCACTTACAACATCTCCGTTGTGTATTTGAGTTTCTCAACCAAGGCCAGTGGAAGCTTAAGATGTCCAAGTGCTCCTTTGCTCAAACCAAGATTGCTTACCTCGGTCACATTATTAGTTCTGATGGGGTGGAAACAGACCCTGTCAAGCTACAGTCCATTGCTCAGTGGCCCACGCCAACCTCTATTAAGGAACTCCGCTCGTTCCTAGGGCTCGCCGGATATTACCGACGGTTTGTATGACACTTTGGGATCATCTTGAAGCCTCCGACAAATCTGTTAAAGAAACATTCCTTGTTTATCTGGACATCGGATCACACAACAGCCTTCCAAGCCCTCAAGTCTGCTTTATGTCAGTCTCCTGTATTGGCTCTTCCAAACTTTGCAAAGCCGTTCACCATCAAAACTGATGCCTCTGACTCGAGGATTGGCACGGTGCTTATGCAGGACGGCCATCCCTTGGCCTATTTTAGTAAAGCTCTATGTCCACTTACGAGAAGGAATATATGGCCATACTTCTTGCCGTCCAGAATTGGCGTTCATACTTATAGTTCCAAGAGTTTGTCATACTCACCAATCAAAAAAGCTTGACATAGCTTACTGATCAACGTCTTCACACCCATTGGCAGCAACGGGTCTTCTCTAAATTGCTTGGCTTACAATACCGCATTGTCTACCGTCCTGGCGTTGATAACTGAGCGGTTGATGCCTTATCGCGTCTTCCTCCCACTTCGGCTGTCTGTGCCACTATTACCACTTTGGTGCCTAATTGGATTCAGTCGGTCATCACCGGCTACAGCGAGGATGCCTTCGCCAAAGATCTGTTGTCTAAGTTGGCTCTTAACTCTGATGCTGTGCCGAATTATTCACTCTAGTTCGCCATCCTGCGCTACCGTTCCTGCATTTGGATTAGCAGTGACTCTGCTTTACAGCATCGCCTTATTTCAGAGTTCCATGCCAATTCCTGGGGTGGTCACTCTGGTGTGCCAGTAACTTATATGAGGTTGAAGCAGTGTTTCACCTGGCGTGGGATGAAGTCTGCGGTACAATAGTTTGTGCAGTCCTGCTATGTCTGCCAGCAATCTAAGTATGATCGCTCCATGTCTCCAAGTATGCTGCAGCCACTTCATGTTCCTGATTCTACCTAGCAAG